TCCTATACATATGTATAATATATTCAAAATTTTTCTTTAATTTAATAGGATTTATATACATTACCTAAATTTTGAATTTATGAGAAAAACATAATTTTTTTTTCATTTTCCAATTGTAAATTTTGTCTTCTATGAAAAGCATTGTTTCCAATCATCGTGATTCGTACATAATATACCACGGGTAATGATTTACAGAGCATATATGCAATATTAATAATATACTGTAAATTATTGTAAAATGAGCCCCAATTTTCGTATTACGTATGTGTACGAAATCAAACAAGTCATTGAATTATCCGAAAGTTAATTCCTTAAAATGTAGATAAATATTTTTGAAATTTCCAATTTTATACATAAATTCTTCAACACAACTTCTAACTTGTATTTTACGCAATAGCATTTAATAAAATTTATTTGTAAATATTAATAATATGTACATACATGTATGTATATGTAGGGGTATAATTGTACTGAGTATACATGAAATAAAACAATAAAATAAGTGATGAATTTTAATTCTTAAAATTTTATGCAGTTGTTTCTATGTGTGTATGTGAAAATAATTTTTCAATTATTTGAAAATTATTGTTGAAATATTTTCTAATAAAAATTTCTGAAAAAAAATTAAAATTAACTTCATTTGAATTTTTCTTCTTTTTTTATGATTTCATATTATTTTCATTTAGATCCTGATTAGATTTTAGAAGATTTATAGAGTGATGTGATTGAAAAAAATTTCGATATTTTATGAGTAAAAATTTTTGAAATTCCTTTATTTTAAAAAACAAAGCATTTTATTGAATTTTAAAATTTATAAATAGTTATACTAAATATGTACGAGTATACAGGGAGTATATAAACATAAAGAGAATTATTTTCATTGAGAATTTATGTTTTAATTTATTTTATTTTGTATTTAAGCAAAATACATAGAAGTATGTATATGTATGTATAAATTCAAATAAATAATAGAAATTTGTGTAACACGAGCAGCACATTTCCATTGAATAAGTGAAAAAAATGTAGTGCAATTACTAAATATTGCCTGCTTTCAGGATGAAAAAATTAAAAGAGTCGTTAACATAACGGCAATGGTGTAGAATTCGGGGTTTAGTAAATAATTGGTAAAGTAAATAAATATATTTTTGTGATAGTAACACATTTACCGTTAGCTTTTTAAAAATTTGGAAAATCTTACAGTCTCGACGAAATCAAATTTGCCGAAAATTGAAATTCTAATGAATTTGTGAAAAATCAATAAGGGTTTTTTATATAAGATAACGGTTGCAATGGCAGTTATTTGCTCCAGAAATAGCAAGTCACTAATTTTCTGCATTTCTTGAATTTACTGAATTTTTGAATATTTCAAAAATGAAATAATGTCATTTTTGAAATATTGAAAGAGGAGTTGGATTTCTTCTAAAATCTAGAAGTATTGATATTCCAGCAAGAATCATATAAGGTTTTTTTCTTGAAAACAACAAAATTTTTTATATAAATAGGGGCGCGAAAGAGCTAACAGACAGAATGATATTAATAAGCTAATTTTTTTGTCAATTTTTAGTTGGAAATATGCAAAAAATTATAATATTAATTAAAAATATGAGAATTAAATACCAAATAATATGAACTGTAGCAAAGTCCCACGTGACACATTAATAATTCATGATAAAAATAAGTATCATAAAATTTTAAAAAAAATGTTAAAATACACTAAATCAAAATGATTTGCCAGACAGTCCACCAAGATACCATTTCGCGCATAAATTCAAAAATCATGTTTCATATATGATAAATATTTCAAATTCATTGACCGAAATAGTCAAATTGGCCAAAAATAAAAATTGAGTAAAAAAAAATACCCAATGACTAAAACATTTAAATGAGTCCTTTTGTATTTTAAAAATTTTAACCAAAGGCGTTAAATGGCGTGAATGTCTTTTATTTTTTGAAACGGAAATTTTTTTTTTATAATCTATTTTATTTTTTCTTATATAAAATTAAAATATTATCTTTTATTTTTCATTTTGGAATAATTCCAATTTAATTTTTATTTTAATGAGAATTTAAAATGAATGAATTGTGTTTGTAGCTTAAGATAATGAAAATATAAAAAAGCAATATAAAAATTCATGTTGTACACATAAAAAAAACTACTTATAAAAATGGTTAATAATCCATTGAATATGGCGCCATTTGAATACTTCAAAATGAAATTTTGTGCACACGCATACATACTTACAAAAAAATTATTTCAAATATAAAATTTTTAGAGATAAATGATGAAAAAAGTTGATGAGTTTCAAAATTAAATAAATTTATCGTATTTCTGGCGTTTCAATGAAAATTTTCGGGAAGTTCAACTGTAATACTCAATAGAACGAATAGCAAGACGAAGGAAAGAGAAACAAACACTTATATTTCACTTCATCTCGATCCATATTATCGTTTTGCTACTGGAAACCCATCAAGTTCTGCACACACTATTTAGTTATTCAATAATTATCCAATAAAATTTTTTTTATTTTCAAAAAATAGTTACTAATTTAATATTTATAAATTATTTTTTAGAATTATATGGATATTATTTATTGCTGGTGCTATTTTTGGTATTATATCACTTGGACAAAGAATTTGGGATCGTTTTCAAACATCACCAATGGTAATAACAATGGATCGTAATAAACTTGTATGGAATACAAGTTTTCCAAGTTTAACAGTATGCCCATATAAAAGGATCGATGAAGGAAAAGTTGAAGAATATTTAGAGTATTCAAACCTAACTAGGATTAAAAATTTTACAATTTAGATTTAATTTAATTTTTCCAGAACCAGATCAAAATATTTTCAAAATGAAGAAGATCGTGAAATGTTTCGTGAATTTGTTAATAATTTAGCATATGCATCATATGATAATATTGAAAAATTAATAATTAATAAAACATTTGATATAAAGAGTAGTAAATATCGTGATCTTTTACATGAATTACAATGGAATTTTTCACCAGAAATGAGTAGTGGTACACCAGTTAAAATGCATATTTATGAAACAATAACAGAATTAGGTGTTTGTCATTCTGTTAATTCAATGATTGCACGTTATAATTCATATGAGTAAGTATAGCAGCTATATTCTTGGTATTCAGGTTGAGTTGACAATAACTTTAACCTAAAAGCGGAACTTCTATAAATATTTTAATGTCTAAACATTTTCAATTTTCGAAAACTGTGTGTATTTTTTTTAGAGTAAATGAAACTACTTACAATTTTTAAGAATTTAAACGACAAACTTTTATTTTATTAAATTAATTTTTTGTATTCCAAAAAAAATCGAGTTCTGTATTTAAAAAATGTTTTTAATTTTTTAATAATTTCCGCTCCAGTTGTTTTTTCCTCACTTCTTTAACTGCAATCACATTTACGTGCCATTTTTTTTTTAATTTTTTGTTTTAGATACTGGAAATATAATAATTGGGCACCACTTGATCATGGTGATAAAGTAACAGTACATCCTTTAGATGGTGAAATTTATGCGCAAATAATAAATTTATCAACTGCATACGATGTTTATTTTCATGGTGCCAAAGAGGTACCAGATATATCAAAGCAAAAATATACATTTCCAGAAACTGATTATACTACGGTGGAATTAACTGCTTTAGAAATATTTACTGCTAATGAAGCTAGAGAGTAAGTTTGTGTGTATATATTCTATATTTTATTGATATTATCGAAAAAGAATTCTTTTAGCAGCAGTATAGTCTACATATGGTAATAACAGTATAGTTGATAATGCAAAAAAAATCTGGAGTGGCCATTTGTTCCAATACCATAAGATTTCTCCTAGTACTTGCTATTATGATACTTGCACATTTTTTTTTTGTAAAATTAATACACAATTTAATATTTGATCATTTTTATACCTACACATAACATTTAGAAAGATTATAAATTAATTATTATATAATAATTTAGATTATAAATTATAAAACTAGAATAATACTACATTTGTATAATAAAATTAATTCTCGATATTAATTTTAGCTTTTCAATTAAACAAAGAAAATGTCGTTTTCATTATGAAGCTGATGAAATGATGACCAGTCCAATTTATACATTTGGATTATGTCGAACAGAATGTCGAATGAATTTAGCTTTGAAAGTATGTAAATGTGTACCACATTTCTATAGGAACCAAAGTAATAATTGTGTAGAAATATTAACAAAACTTAAAAATGATCGATAACATTTTTGTTTTTACAGTTAGAACTGGTCAAATTTTACCAGTATGTGGTATTGAAGGATTTGCATGTTTGGCTAATATAAAAAGTAACAAAATATTTAAACTTTTTCTATTCTTAAAATTTTAATAATTAAACAATTCTAGAAGAAATTATTTCACTTAAATCTGATTATATGAAAATCAAATGCGATTGTCAACCAAATTGTGATGATTCAAATTTCTTTGTACAATCTTATGTAAATAGAATTCTATTGCTACAATTGAAATCTGCCAGTTTATATATATTCTTATATTTTTTATAGAAATCTCGTATATGGTTTTTGGGAGCCAACTTACAATGGGGTATAAGTAATTATCCAAAAATGCAACTTCGTCGAGAGATTTTATTTACTTTTGCTGATGTTTTAGGTAATGCTGTTCAAATTCTTAATTCTATAAATTACTTTGAGTAATTTTATTTCAATCTTAACCGCATCAGGTGTTTAATTCAATTTTATTATCTCACTTCCAAGTTTTAAATCTAAATTTAATTATTTTCAAAATCATCTAAACAATTTAACAGATATCTCTTACTTCTAGTGTACATTGGTGGATTAGCTGGATTCTTTTTGGGATGCAGTATTTTAAGCTTCACAGAATTCATATATTTTTTAACAGCTCGCTTATTTAGACGCTTATTTTTACACTAATTTTAATGTTGACATGACTACATAAACCCTTATATTATATATGTATGTAATTAAAAATTAAATTTAATTTATTAAGCACAATTTTATTCTTTGTATTATAAAAGATGTGCACATTAAATTTATAACATAAATTATAATAAAAATTTCCTTAAAATATATCTAACTGAGTATATTTTCATAAAAAATTTAATGAAATGATGATTTTGTTAGAGTACAAATCCTTATTTATACTCATATATATTTTTTACAATACTGCTTTTAATTATAATAAATTAATTAATCTAATAAAAATTTCTAAATTTCAACATTTTTCTATTCAAATTCGTATACCACCTCCTGAACATCGTGATATTCTTGGTAAAGAACCAGTATCTTCGTCCACATCTTCACCGACATCTTCAATTTTTACTTCATTTATTTCATTTGCAATTCTTTGTGATGAATTTATTTCGTTATTAGTAATATCATCAATCATTCTGATATCATTACTATCTTCACTGTCAGCACAACTTTTGTTGTCATCATCATTTACTGTATTTGATGAATTCTGAATATTACGATTTTTGGCGAGCACGCTTTGATCTAAAAATTTTGTATTCACACCGAGAATTGATGGATTTGATGATGTTCTAATACCAATATGTAAAGGTGGTGGCCTTAGTCTCGAAGGATCTAATAAAGTTTTAGGAGGTTGCTTTTTTAATGGGGTTCTTGATGGAGATGCTTTGCGGCTGTTTGAAAATGATTTCAACATTTTTGCCCTTAATTATTACAAAAATTTTAATATTAGCTCTTTTATATACCTTTAACATCAATTTTTTCAAATTTTTATCAACTTACGCATCAATTAACTTCATTAACAGTCTATGGTATGCGTCATATTCTTCACTACCAAACTCATTCGGGTCGTGCCTTGCATGTTCATACCTTTAGATTAATTCAATTATGTAGATAACGTTTATATTGAAATTTTACAATAGCTTACATATCCATAAATTGATGAATCATCCTTTGTCCGGCTCCATTTAATGGCGGTGCTAAAGTTGTTAGTAAATAGGCTCTTAAGCTATCTCTTGGATGTCTTATAGTTCCGTCATTTTTAATTATTTCTTTTTCAAGAATTTTAACATCATCTACAGCTCTCATTCGATAATAATATGGTGGCAATGGCTTATCAGTCTGTGATGTATCATAAATATCATCATCCCATAAAAGTTTTGGTTCATAAGCAATTTTTTGAATACAATCAAGTCTACGTTCAATTTCTCGACGAATACTCTAAAATTTGTATAAATCGATACTAATTATATTATAGTTTCACTCAATACAAATCATATTTACCTTATTTGCATCATTTCCTACAGGTGCATGAGGACCACGTCTTGATCTCAATGTAAATCTCATAATTTGCCTTTTTGCAAACAAAAATAATATAACAAAAATTAAAACACCCCCTCCAATGATAGCTATTATCATAACATTTGGCAATAAACTTTTCTGTCCACTTGCTGGCGGTTCATTAATTGCCTTTTCATTCCCCATTTTTGTAATAGCAATAGCTTCATTTTGATTTGGAACACCTTCCATTGACTAAATAAAATTTTTACAAAATTTTTATATTTTATTTATAAATGTTTTTTTTGACCACATTTAATTATCGATCCATTTAACTTTTTTCAATAAATTCCATTGAAACCAAAATATGAAACGTCAAACAAACAGCTGATAAAAAGAATATTTTAATGACAATAGCAGCACGTACAAAATCATATGTGTTTCAGATATATAAACAAATATTCACAATAGAGATGTAGAGTAGTTGCCACAATAGAGTGGTCGTAGTTGAATAAATATAATTTGTAATCCGTACCTTTTGAAGAAATGGTTACCTCATTAAAAATGCAGTAAAATGTAATTTGAATATATTATATATAAAATTTATCAAATATGAATTAATTGTAAAACAAATAAATAAAAAAAAATTCAGAAACAACAAAAAAATTAACAACCTAGTAGTTGTAATTAACCTAACAAACCTAGTAATCTACACAGTCTGTAGAAAACATAAAAACACAGAAAATAATAAAGTAATCTCAGTAGATTCTGACAGTAACTGACAATAATACAGTAATATATCTATAACTATTACAGTAGTAATTAATTTTAAAATACTCGGCAAGTCTATACATGAATTTGAAAATTTTTTTTTGTTTACAATTTGCAGAAACTGCACTGTACACAAGGTTAATATTCAAATGTCAATTTTTCAAAATAAACCGCACGTGTTTACTTTATAAAATAAGGAAAACTGAATGCAAATGAATTTAAATAATATAAAATATAAAAAACCAATTAAATAAAATTATAACAAAAAAATTTAATGCAAATTTTTAATAAAAATGGGAGCAACCTTCAAAGAATTCGATTTAGTACCGACAGACTTGGAATTTTCTATTTATTCGTCAGATGAAATAAAATCTCTAAGTGTTGTTAAAATTATTACAGGATTAACATTCAATCAACTTGGTCATGCATTACCTGGCGGATTATACGATTCAGCAATGGGAGTAAGCGGTAAGGTTTTTGAAGTTTGTCAAACATGTATGGGACAATCCAACTGCCCTGGTCATTTTGGGCACATTGAATTAAATACGGTAGTCTATAATCCCTTCTTCATAAAGCTAGCACATGACATATTAAAAATTTCATGCCTCAATTGTAATAGATTGCAGTTTAAAGGTAAGTAGTTTTAGGGAACATCAATGAAAAATCATGCTAATGTAAACTATTTGTAGAACAACATTTGAATATTCTAAAATTGCAACTGCAATTAATAGATGCTGGTTTCGTAATAGAAGCGCAACAAATTGATATTTTCAAATCGGAAGTAGTTCTGGCAGCATCAACAGAGAAAAATGTGAAAACAGAAAGTGGGACGGAAATGCATCCCGAAATTGCTAAAATGCATGAAATTTTAAATCGAGGAGAAACAAATAAAATTAATTGCACTAAAACTTCAAATGAGATTAGGTCCCAAATCATAAATGCATTCTTACATAGTTTTGCGGGAAACAAATGCTTATATTGTCATAACCCTTTAAGAAAAATTAGATTTGTATATCGTAAACTAATGATATATATGCCGAAAACCGAACTTAGAAATTTAAAGTAAGTGTGTAATTAGTTAATTATGAGAATATTATGTATAATTATTTCGTATGATTATAGGGAAACTGAGGCAGGAAATAATGAAGATAAAGGTAAAGACAGTTCTTCACCAAATAAAGTGGTTTTTGCTAATGAATGTCAAGATTACCTGCGAAAAATATTTAAAGAAAATTCAGAAATCCTTCAAGAAATATTCCCAATTTTCAAAATTGCTTCAAATTCGCTGTACAGTCCTGTTGACATATTTTTCATGGATACTATTCTCGTTACACCACCGAGTGCAAGACCTTGTAATTATCTACATAATGAAATAGTTGAACATCCACAAACAGCTGTCTATAGGTCAATTTTAGAATCAAATAGCGTTTTACGTTTAATAATGTTAAATATACAAAAGGGTGAAGAGGAATTAAAAGACGAAGCTAAAGCTGTATATCAAAAAGCTCAAGGTTCAAATGCGCATGAAAAACTCTACTATGCTATTCAAGAACTTCAAACTTGTGTTGATCAACTGCTAGACATAAATTTGGGTCGTGAAAATACAAAATCTTTCGGTTTGAAACAAGTTTTAGAAAAGAAAGAAGGACTTATTCGAAAACATATGATGGGAAAAAGAGTCAATTATGCTGCTCGTACAGTTATCACTCCTGATCCTAATATTAATGTTGAAGAGCTTGGAGTTCCAGATATATTTGCAAAAAAATTATCATACCCTGTTCCAGTGACTTCATGGAACTGTTCTGAGCTTAGAAAAATGGTTATAAACGGCCCCGATATTCATCCTGGGTATATAAAATTGTACATATTTTGTTGAGCTCTAATTTATAATTATTTTTTTTTTGTATAAGTGCGAATTACATCGTAGATCCGAAAGGACATAAAATTTTAATTCCAGCAAATGATCCAGCAAAACGGGAAAGTTTGGCCAAATTACTTTTTAGAAATCCAGAAAATGGTATTAGTGTAGTTCATCGCCATTTATTGAATGGTGATATCATGTTACTTAACCGACAACCGACACTTCATCGACCAAGTATCATGGCTCATAAAGCCCGAATATTACAGGGAGAGAAAACATTTCGATTGCATTATTCTAATTGCAAAGCTTATAATGCTGATTTCGATGGTGACGAAATGAATGCACATCTTCCACAAAGTGAAGTAGCTAGAGCAGAGGCATATGGTTTGGCCAACGTGGCTAATCACTATTTGGTTCCAAAAGATGGAACTCCCTTGGGTGGATTGATTCAGGATCATATAATATCGGGAGTAAAACTGTCTGTGCGTGGAAGATTTTTTAATCGTGAAGATTATCATCAACTGGTATTCCAAGGGTTATCCGATTTAAAGGGAGATATTAAATTACTTCCTCCAGCTATTATGAAGCCGATACGTCTCTGGTCTGGAAAACAAATTCTTTCAACAATTATTCTTAATTTAATACCGGAGGGCTACCCTGGAATAAATCTAACTTCATCCGCCAAAGTAGGAGCTAAGGTAAAATTTTAATATAAAAATAAAAATTTTTAAAATATTGATAACAAATTATTTCATTTTAGCATTGGATTACAGCTCCGAAACACGACTGGATACACGGAGGGACACCATTAAAAGATATTGAAATGTCTGAAAGTGAAGTTATAATTCGCAACTGTGAACTTTTAGTTGGAATTTTGGATAAACAACAATATGGAGCTACAGAATTTGGTCTTGTGCACTGTATGTATGAGGTAAAATATTTTATTTTTATTTTTGTTTTTAAAATAAATAAAGTTGTGCTATTGATTTTGTATTTAAAAAATAATTCAGCTTTATGGCGGACACGTTTCCAGCAGTTTGTTGACTTCATTTACAAAATTATTTACTGTATTCTTACAAAACGAAGGCTTCACGCTTGGAGTTAAAGATATATTAGTGACTCCGGAAGCAGATAAGAAACGACGAAAAATTATCAAAGAAAGTCGTCAAGTGGGAATGTCAATTGTAGCCGAAGCGTTAGAATTGCAAGACGTTCCTGATTTAAGTGATTTAGCAAGCAAAATCGAAGCAGCATATCTGGAAAATCCTAAGTTTAGGACTATATTAGACCGAAAATATAAATCCATATTGGATGAATATACAAATCAAATCAATCAGTATGTAAAATTAGAACATTCCTTAACATATTCCGACATTAATTTATTTAAAATTTAAATTTTAGAGTTTGTCTACCAAAAGGCTTAATAAGTCATTTTCCTTTCAACAATTTGCAATTAATGGTATTATCCGGGGCTAAAGGGTCTATGGTAAATACTATGCAAATTTCAAGCTTGTTGGGGCAAATCGAATTGGAAGGTAAAAGACCGCCGTTAATGATATCGGGAAAATCATTACCAAGTTTCCCATCATTTGAAACATCCCCAAAGTCAGGAGGTTTTATTGATGGAAGATTTATGACCGGTATCCAACCTCAAGATTTTTTCTTTCATTGTATGGCTGGTCGAGAAGTAAGCAATTACAAAATATAATTAATTTCTACTAACTACTTATAAACTTTATTTATAGGGTTTAATCGATACTGCTGTAAAAACAAGCCGATCAGGTTATTTGCAACGTTGTTTAATAAAACATTTGGAAGGAATCAATGTTAGTTACGACTTAACAGTTCGGGATAGTGACAATAGTGTCGTACAAGTCAGTATGAATCTTTCACAGTTTAAATAAATGCGTAATCAAATTTGTTTTTTAGTATTTATATGGAGAAGACGGGTTAGACGTATCTAAATCACGTTATTTAAATTTGAAATCAATTAAGTTTCTTGACGAAAATGCAGCAGCAATACTACATCGTGCTCAAATAAACAATCTTGAAGATGAAAACTCTTTAGAAAAGATTCATAAACATAATAAAAAATTAAAATCTTGGCGAAAAAAGAATGGTAACCCAACAGAAAAACGAAGATGTTCAAGTTTTCAACAGTTTTCTTCTGAATTACGTGAAGAAATTGAAATGAAGAAACCCAATAAAATGTCAAAAAAATCAGGTCGCTTAAATATTGATGCAAAATTAGTAGAACTTTGGAAAAAAGCAGATAATAAAGACAAATATCATAAAAAATATTCTCATTGTCCCGATCCGGTAATATCAAAATATAAACCAGACAATTATTATGGAGCAATAACTGAATATGTGGAGAATTTAATGAATACATATCTTCAAAATAATCTGGAAAGAAAGTCAACAATTCGTGATGTATTTTATACCAAAAATATAACATCAATAGTAGAACCTGGAGAACCTGTGGGTTTATTGGCAGCTCAATCTATTGGTGAACCTTCAACTCAAATGACATTGAATACATTTCACTTTGCTGGTCGTGGTGAAATGAATGTTACATTAGGTATACCACGTTTAAGAGAAATTTTAATGTTGGCATCATCAAAAATTAAGACTCCATCAATGGATATACCATTCTTAAAAAATCGAACTAAAAAAGCAGAAAAGTTACGAATAAAATTAAATCGTGTAACATTATCTGAAGTTTTAGAAAGTATCAATGTAAAAATTCGTCTAATTTTAAGACCAGTTAGAGTTTATGAATATAAACTGAAATTTTCCTTCTTACCAAAAGAAGCTTATGAGGATGAATTTTGTGTTAAACCTAAGCAAATCTTAAAATTTATGGATGAACATTTCTTCAAAATGATGTTCAAGTTAATTAAAAGAAATCGATACAGCAAGGATTTGTAAGAAATTATAATGAAAAATTATTAATTTCAATACATAGTTAATTTTCTTTTAGAATTGAAATTTCTACTGAAACTGAAAATAGTAAACAAAAGGATGATGATATTGACGAACAAGTAGCTGACAAAGATGATCAAAAAGGATCAAAAAATGCTGGACCAGCAATAGAAATAGATGACTCTTCTGATGACGATTTTGTAAGTGGAATTTCTTTCGGTCGCTGAAACTATTTTTTTTTTATTTTATGTTTAAAATTTTTATTATCAAAGGATGAAGATGATGCGACTGGTGTTAAATTAAAAGCTAAAAAGCAGGATGAAAATGATTATGAAGATCCAGATGAAGTAGAAGAAATTGAGGACGCAGATTGTAAGGTTTTTTTTTATTTCTTTAACACTTTTTCAAATGTCAATTAATTTTTTCAGATAATGAAGATAATGAATCCGTAAATCTTGATAATGAAAATGACAAGAATGAAAATGAAGATGACGACAACAAAGAGGAATTTATAGTGACGAGCAATGAAATGGTCAAAAATTATATATATGATAAGGAAAACTATAGATGGTGCCAGTTAACATTTAACGTAAAAAAATTAATTATTTAAAAAAAAAATAAAATTTCTAATTTTAATATAAAATTTTATAGCTTGCAATGAAAGACAAAATTGTCGATATTTCAACATTATTAAAAAATTTAGCTGAAAAATCAGTTGTTTATGAAGTGCCAAAAATTAAAAGAGCCATTACATACACAAATAATGATGATTTAATATTAAAAACCGATGGAATTAATATTGTTGAAATGTTTAAATATAATCAAATATTGGATTTAAATCGTTTATATTCAAATGATATTCATGCTATTGCAAATACTTATGGTATTGAAGCTGCAACTAGAGTTATAGTTAAAGAAATACAAAATGTATTTAAAGTCTATGGTATTACTGTTAATCCAAGACATTTATTATTGGTAGCTGATTATATGACTTTTGATGGAATATTTAAACCATTAAGTCGTAAAGGAATGGAATTTTCATCATCACCCTTACAACAAATGTCATTTGAATCTTCTTTGAAATTTTTAAAAGATGCTGCTATATCTGGTAAAATTTCAATTAAAATATAATAATTTGCTTGAAAATTATAAATTATATATTTTGTTTCTTTTTGTTTTTAAGGTCGCACTGACGAATTAAATTCACCAAGTAGTCGACTTATGGTTGGTTTACCTGTTAAAAATGGAACTGGATCATTTACTTTATTAAATAAATATGTTATTAATTAATTGCAATGTTATTAATTAAATTTCATAATAAAAAAAAAATTTTTAATAAATTATATTAATGAATTTATATTTAGAAACATAGTTACATAAAATATGACTAATAAATTAATAAATTTTTTATGCACATAAAATTTACTACGTCTCAGCTTTACATAATTAAATTTCAATGTGCCGCCCGTATTACTTATTAGTTTTGTAAACGTTTTGGTAGTAAATTTTAATTAAAAATAATCACATTTGTCTATATTGTACGTGCAATTTTTTAATATATTTGATTAAACAATTGCGTTTTTAAAATTTCCAAATCTCTTGAATAGAATTAAAAAATAACATTTTCAAAAACCCTTAGATAGAATCTAATAAATTTTGAAATATTATTAAATATTTGAAATAATTTAAGTTCTTAGAATTCATGAAGTTAAATTAAAAAATGGTAATATAATTTTTAAATGAAATTAAAAATAAAATTCAAATTCTTTACGCATAACACACTTTTGTTTATAGCGGCTTTTTATTTCTGATTACCTTTAAATATTTTGACTGGTCAAATTATAATAATGTTGTTCAATTTCTTCTCAATAATACTTACATATATACTAATATACTAAAATATTTTGGATTCTTAATTTTGTTACTTATTTGCTTTTATTCTTTAATTTCAAATCAAAGAATAATTTTGTATTTGACTACACGTAAACAATTTGTATTATAATTTCTAATCAAAAAAACAAAAAATAATTTTTATTAATTTTCTATTGCTTTTTTACATATAAAATAGATCGAATTACGAAAAACAAAAATAACAAGATTTTATAATACTGTGAAGCTTCAAATTGGATTTTTTTTTTTTAATTTCGAACCACTATAGAATATTAAATATATTCAATAATTTAATTTTGTTATAAAAATAAAAGCAGAAATTTTCGATTTATTTTGTCCATTCAAGTAAATAGCTATTATGACCTAATCAAATTAATTCAAATATTTGGTAAATTTTAAAAATTACTAAATTTTTTGATAATTTATTAGTAGATATATGATAAGTACATCTGTACTTACTCATTTATTACTTATACAAACATTATACAATTAAACAAAGATTTTTCAACAAATAATCATTAGGGCTAGTAATAAAATAATAATACACTTGTACCCCTAAATATATGCAACAATTTCAATATAGAACATAATTATTTTTAATGGTTTTCAATACCTAGCTCGCTATAGTTCTTATAAAATTAAAAATACCATCTGATTTTAAATACTTTAATGAATGAATTTACTTCATATTAATTAAAAATCAATCAAAATCTATTAAAATTGAAAATTGAAAAAGAAAAATCACGCAAATCTTTTAATATGCATTCATAAATTAAACAAAACCGTATGGATATAAAACATAGAAGCAATTACAAATAAAAAAAGCCGAAAATAATAATTTCTATATATATGTACATATTTGAAATTTAATAATAAATTTTTTTTTTATCATAGCTATGTCGTATGTACCATAAATATTTTTCATACCATTTATACAAACACTCTATATCCAATTAAATGCATTTGTATAAATCAAAATAAAAAAATTAAATTAATGTGACCGATTTTTAATAAGATCATAAATTGCAATCATATCTGGGCATTTACAGATGTTAATATGTAAAAGAAATTTTGCATAAAATCAAATAAAATTATTTTATTGAACATTTTTATATTATAATAATAGCAGCATAATATTTTTTTTTTCCGCCAATTTAATTAAAGAAATTCAACTTTTAAACTTTCTATATATATCAATTACAATTTCTTTGAGAACATTGATGTGTCGTATATGCTTTACATTTTACATAACACATTTACCAATTGCAAGAATTTGTAATGAATTCAAGTTCATACTGCTTAATGAACTCAGATTCTCAATTTGAGTTGACTATAGCGCTTAAAAGAATTAAGAAAATTAATTATTTAAAAGAAACGTAACTGAGTGTGCGATTGAAACATTCATTTAGTCAATTTTACTGATATTATAAGCTGATTATATTAAAAAATTACTAAAAATCTCAAATAATTACCTATACAAAACAAAATCATTTTCTATCACTTGCTGTAACACAAATTCTATGTTACAATCCAAAACCAATACGTATTATGTTTGTGATCCTTAAATTTATCCTCCTTAAAACGTACATAATATACAATAGATTATAATCCAGAATTGTTAATAAAATTTATTATATTTTTAATTTAAAAAATTCTTTACTGCTTACTGTTACTACCATAACAATAATGTACTTGTCTACTTACTTAGTAACACAAAAATTTTAATATTCTTAACACTAAAATAAATTTTCCTTAAATACAATGACTTGTTATTTTTTTTTACTCATACCTAAATGGTAAATAAAAATTCGGTATTAAAAAAAAATTAAAATTTTTTTATAAAAGTAGCTACTATATGTAAAAAATTACTATAACAAAATAATTAATTTATTTATATGCAATATTAATAATGTGTTGTTCAAAATCAACATTATACCAATTTTATACATGGTAGTAATGGTAGTACATAAGAGCCGTGACAGCAAATTGAGTCACGGCTTATTTGAAATAAAAATAATAAAATTAAGCAGCCACCTCAAGTTAACGATATTTTTTTGTATAATTCAAATAAATGTAGGGAAAATTATAAGAAAAAAAAAAAAGGAACTAAAATGAAATTCACTTTATGAAATGAAGCTTATAAGCTGACCGGATAAGATTTTATTTTTTTCTCGGATATTAATGGGGTTTCGTTGTTATTAAAATAATAAATCTGAATTTAAAAATTTTTAGTTTCTGTTTAATTCTTGAAAGAATAGGTTGGAAAAAAAATAAAATTATAAAGTAGTTAAAATTAAATGGTATTGAAAGAAATAGAAGAAATAGAAGGTTTTGTTAAAAAAAAAATTCTTAATTAGAATTAAAAATAAACTTGAATTAGAATTTTAAAATATTATTGAAATTAAAAGTGAGTAGTTAAGATATTTAATTAATTTTCATTAATAATTTAAGTAGTGAAGAAAATTTAATGAAATATTTAGAGTTTTAATTGTAACTGGTCTTGCAAATTTCTTAAAATTTTAAATTTTAAAAGTGTGCCAATTAAAAGAATATTTAATAAATTTAATATAGACTTAAAATAACGAATATTAAAAAATTTAAATTGATTATTATTTTAAATTGAACGATAATTGACGATATTGAACAACGTGTATATTATAAGATATTGGTATTTAATTAAGGTTGATCAACGTGTGTTCTGATAAATTTATGTTCAACGTGTTCAGTATTTTTGCAGTTTTTGTTTTTCTTGTTTTTTTTTGAAAATATTTTTGAAAAAGAACTCAAGATTTAAAATATATGCAAAAATTTGTTAGAATTATATAATTTAAAGTTATTATTGTAGATTATAGTGGATTTGGGAGGTATCATGATTGTCAAATTTGATAAGTGATTCTATGCGGGTATACTTTTGTCATAAAAAGAATATTTTCATTTTATCCCAATCAGAAATGGGATAAAAATGTGTACCAATAATATTATTGTATTTGATAATATATCATTAAAATACTATCGAGAAATTGTTACTTAATCCGGTTTAAGAACAGAATCTTCTGGCAGTATTTTACACAAAAATATAGGCGTCTATCAAAAATAAGATTTTAAGTTATATAGTATACGCTTTGCCTTATATACCTATTTCATTGCTTATAAAAATGCAAAACAAAAGCATAGATTCTGGCTATAAAAAAAATTATTTTGTTAATCGAAATACTTTGCAAATAGTAGAATGTAAATTTCACGTGAAAATGCTTGCATTTCGGTAGCACAGAACCACTTCTTATAGAAAAATATTCTTATTAAATAAAAAGTTATTTTATTTTTCTAAATTTATGCTTTTTATAATCATTTAAATTGCATATAAATTGCAAGAAATCTTTTTACATCTTTTTAAAAAAAATCAAGATATTTTACATTATAATTTCATAATTTATCCTTGATTTAAAAGATTTCATGAAAATTTACAACTTTATTAGTAAATTTTTAAAAACGATTTAAAGATCTTAATTGAATAATAAAAACTGAAACTGAAAGTATAATTATCTTTTCTAACAGAGCATCTATTTATACAATCTTAGCTTAAATTTACATATTAATATAAGATAATTATGAAATTGCAAAAACATTGAACTTGATACTGAATACACTATATTATTTGTAATGAGGGCAAAATATAATTTTATTCTACATTATTCTTCTTAATTCTTCCAATATTTTCATTCATTTTTATCATATATTTTTATTATTTTGTTTATAATTAAACTTTTATTTTCAAAATAAAGAAAAAATAGTGAGATAACAAAATTATTAAGAATATTAAAAAATTATTGCATTCTTGCAAAATTTTTATATAAATACAAAGCTATATAGTGTTTTTTATTTACACATTTTATATTTAATATACTATATCTAACAAAATAGTAGGTATATATGAAAAAAAAATTACGAATTTAATTTTTGAAAGAATGAGCTCTTTACTTTTTTTATAAAATGATAAGCTTAAATCATCTAAAATTTAATTTCTTATATACTTTATATTATTAGATCTATATAATAAAATTAGAATATAGTTTACATATTCGTATACAAAATTAAACATTGTTGCAGTTCAGGTTAATATAAGTCATTAACCCTTAAAATATATAAAAATACATTTTAATTATAATTATACGCTCATTTAATATTAGAAATATATATATATATACATAAATGTTCAGTATTTTTAGTAATTTAACTGGAAAATTTTAATTTTATGATTAGTGCGAATAAATATTTTCATTCAAAATATTATATGTTATTTAATTTTTAAAATAAATATTTGTATAGAAAATTTACATATATTTTATAAATATTATTAAAGTAATATTAAAACAAAAACAACAAACATGTATATACATTATATACCTTACATTATTAACTAGATCTGCAATAATATTTACAAAATTTTTTTAATTATCCTTAATATTAGCGTAAAATCTTAAAAAAAATTATGCAATTTTATTTGAGAGTCAATTTAAGATAGTTGATCTCACGATTTTAGTTCTCTTAATCTCTAGAATTTCATTGTGTTTAAAATTTTCATTTATTGAACCAAGGATGCGCCTTCTAAGTAACATATTATGTGCAGCAAAATTTTTACTATCCACAAAATATTCTTTGTTCCTAGATATAGGATAATACCTCGACTTAAATGCGTTTGAAATATTCATTTATTGAGCTAAGAATTCCAGTTTTGAGCTAAATGTAATGTGTAGCAGGATTTTTACTATCCACCAAATAATATTTGTTCCTATATAGGATAAACTGACTAATGCTATGTAATATTTGAGATTTTGTGTTAAAATTTCCATCTACTGAGCCTTAGTAATTGTATATCCAATTTCACAGGGAATTCCAGTAGCCATCGTTTTCACAATTCGGTGTATTTTTTCATAATAGCACTAAAAGTATAAAAGATTTTTAATTAAATAAATATTAATGATCATCATAAGTATACCACTAAATCTTTTCTCAATTAAAATAAAAAAAACTTATTATAACTTACTCAATATTAACAATTTCAATTTTAATTAATAAAAAGAAATTATTACATAAATATTATTAAGATTTTAAATAAATTGATGGACAGCTTTTATTTTCCGGATATTTTAATTTTTTTCTATAAATACCTTAATATATAAAATTCCATTGATTTTTTTATTATCATTAATATTGATTTTATTATTAATTTTAATATTATATATAGATTAAAAATAATTTTTCACATTTTCATATCGAGAAAACCGACAATGAACGCCGATTGATATAAGGGAGAAAATAATTATCATTTTTAATTTTATTCAATATTTTTCATTGTCAATATAATAACTCCATATACCACTACGCGTCGCTGAACATTCAATGTATTTACACATATTATATAAATGTTCAACCATTTCCATGTACCTATGTATATAATATAATAATTATTATTAATTAAATAAAACAAAATGTATGCATATAAGAAAATAGAATATAGAAAATTCATATTGGCTGCAAATTATCAATGTTAAATAAAATAAAATATATTATAGATAATAATAAATATAAAATTATATGTATTTTAATTAAAAATAAAATACAAGTCGTTACTCATACCATATACTAAACTTACCATGTTGTCATACATGCTGTATACATATAAAATGTTGAAATAACTATCAAACTAAATGTATATGTTGTATATTATTGTACAAAATTTCTATTCACCCTGAAATATTATAAAAAATATAAGTAATGGAATACAACACAAAGAAATTTGACACCGGCAAACACTTCGATGACATATTTTACAGTTGTTTCAGTTATTTTATACATTTCTGTATAGCTATACTATTTCAATTACAAAATATTAAATTTCTGACTATAATTTACATGGTTCTTTATACATAATTGAATTATTGAAGTGTTAAATTGAGATTAAAGGTGTTAAATAACATTTTTTGTTTCTTTTGTTTTATAGAAAATTTTTGACAGGTTATATAAATGTTTGCATTTCCGGTTTATATACATATAAGTATACATGATATTGTATACGTAATAAGAAATTTTCTTGACGGCAATATTTTGAAAGATATTTAGAAAACTCTAAACGCTTTTTCTGACTGAACTAGCCATGAAAGATTTCGATTCTAAATTGTTGGTTCAATATTATTTTCCATAAAAATATTACGTCTGACTATGTCATAGTATAACAAAGTGAAATATTGTAATCAAATATCTGCAATATCTCGTTAAACGATAGCATTCTTTAATATACTACATATTATAATTCTAAATTTAATTTGCATTTTAATAATAAAATTTAATATTATAAATTTGCATTTGAATATTATTTCGGTCAATTTGCTTAACAGAATAACAAAATGTACTACTTAGCATCCATAAATTGTTTAGAAGAGTCAAACTTATTAGATATTATAATCCGCACTTTTATAGGAATATCTTCATTTGCGCTGAATTTACTCATATGGCAATAATATAGCTATAAAATGCTAAAATTTGAAAATAATTTTGCAATTCCTTATAGAATTTATTCCAAAATTGACAATTGTTCATAATTTAAATTAGATTTTTTTTAAATTTTTCTATTTTTTTAATAAAATTTTTCTATATAATTTATTTGTAAAATCAAAAATTAAAATTTTACAACAACAAACATAATTGAACATTTTTAAAATCAGACTTTGAACAACTTAAATTATTAATTAAAATTTAATAAAAAATTATTTAATTCTTTAATTATTTAAACAAAAAAAAACATAAAAATTAAAAAATAAAAAACAATTCAAATTCAGACGGACCCTTTCTGTTAAAGTGCAGCCACATTTGTAAGGTAGATTTGTTATACATTTTATATAGAAAAAACGCAATATGAAAGCTTAAATTATTTATTAAATAAATTAAAAATGAAAAGGAAAATAAAAAAACAAATTTTTTTTTCTATTTGTAAAAAGCATAATAAAAATTATTATGCTTTGAATTATAAGACATCAAAACTATGTTGTAAGGCGCTTATTTTATTATGACTGTTATTCTACTCACACACACACATACTTGAATATAGCCATGAGTGTGTGAACAGTGTATGAACAGTGTCTGAACAGTGGCATTTATTATTTGTATTTATAATATTTGCTATTACAATAACGAAAAAAAAATCAATTTTGAGCGGCTAATTGTTTAAGATTATCTATGATTCTTTCTTCCATGCTTAATAGATCACGTATATTGGAAGAACGATAACAATAATAATAATAATAATTATCATAACAATAATAATCATAATGATAATAATAACAATAAAAATTTCTTATAACTCAATCAGTCTATAACTATACGGTAGAAGCACTGTTAACAACGGTATATGTACATATATGGTGAAATTCTTATCATAATATTCTATGGTATAATGTTGATTGTCATAATATTATCAATACATAGCTGATATTTTGGCTAAAATCAAAGACATTTGAAAATTTTTTGATATACTTAAAATTTGATCACGTTCACTTGTTATCATAGGAAGTTAAAATTTTTCGATAATTGAAATAGAATTTCGTTTCATTCAAAATGTATATATATGTATATAAGTATGTACATGTATGAACATGGAACCGGTTTAATATGATTTTTATTTAGGTAGCCAATTTACTAATTATATTTTCCCTTTTATCAATGACAAGTGTATACTTGAATCATAATTACATATTATACACTCCTTTAAAATTCTAATGAAGCTCAAAAATTATTTTTCAACATTATAGAAACGTTCTATACAAATTACACGTAACTGTTTATCAAAATTAAAAAATACTTAAAATACTTGAGATATTACGAGTATAACAGAGTAAATTATAAGAGAACTACCATATGTATATTCCTTTGGCAGGACTATTGAGATTTGTAAAAGAAAATTGACTGATTTTACTATTACTTGGTTGGATATCTGAGCCCATTAAATTATGGCACAGCTATTGTCAACTTGAAGGTTACCAATTGGCGTTCTTGCTGGTTTAATACTTCACGATTAATTAAAAATAAAATTTATTACCTTAAACTTTAGTACTTTTGGAAAATGTATTTTTTCATTTTAACCCCAAAATTTTATGAGTTCAATGACAGATTTTTTTTGAAAGTATGACGTACTTAAATTTATAACTTATAGCAAAATCTAAATTATTGTTATGTTATGTATGCACCGTTGTATATGTCACCCCTTATTTACTTTCCAATTTCCGCCAAAATGGCTCATAAATAATTTTTAAATAAAAATTTACAAAAATTCATGAATGATTTAGCAAAAATTGAATGAAAAAACGCAAATTTAGAAAATAATTTTTTAAGTTCCAAAAAATTATAATTGCAAGTAAGTATTATATTGGTAAAACTGTTATATTTTTAACTAAAATCTCAAAGTAAAAAAAAAAATTGGAGAGGAAAAAAACAATGTTTACAATATAAAGTAAAATTAAGTTGTCATGAATTATGATTGTCTGGTTGTGCATTTTAAAATAAATAATTTTAATAAATATTTTGTTATATATTTGTTTTTTTTCTGCAAATATTTTTATGTAAACAAAAATGTATAAGAAACAACATTAAAGTTAAAATTTGCATATTTTCACCCACATATTCCAAAATTTGTCAACCTTCAACTTGATTTTAACTGATAAAATTTTATGTAATTAAAATGTCAGAATGTTTTCTTTTTTTTTTTTTGTTCTACATTTTTTATGCGTTTTATATTTTTCATATACAAAAGAATTAAGTTCAAAGTTTTAATATAGAAACAAATTATTTAGATTAAGTCCAAAAAATTATTATCAAGGTAAAATAAATTATATGAAAAGTTAAAAGTGCAGTAAAATCAACTTCATTGTTTATTAGAAATATAATATCGTCGTTTAAGTAAAAAATAAAAAAATGTAAACAAACTGAATTCAACTTGACTACGCAATTCTTTTTAATTGGAGACTAATTTGTTTTGTTGAAAACAACAGAAAAGTAAATAACGGTAAAATTTCCATTAAAATTTAAATTGCTGAACGTTTTATAATTTCACTTATGTCAAGCACTTCAAACATGTACACTTATAGAAAGAGTGCCAATTATATATTAATAAAATAATTTCAAAATTGCGAAGATTCATTTGATGACACAAATGATTCCTGAATTGAATCAAAAATACTGTTAAAATTACTGAATAAATCAATTTGATGTTTGATCAGAATTTTGATATATGCCCTATGTTGCATATCAAATTTACAGTAACCTTACTACATTTCTAATTTTCAAAATTAAAAGACGACAACACTCAAAGAGAATTCGCTTTAAAAATATTGCCGTTGTTGTAAATTCAAATTTAAATGTTGAAAAATTTTTATACAACCAAAAATATGAAGAAAGAAAAAATTTCAAATTTTCATATTTTTATGTATTTTCAGACGCCTGTAATAATTTATTTCCATGAGCTATGACAGTTTTAGATAACAGGATATATAGCGAGCAGAGTCCACCCTTGCTTGGAGAACTGCAAGGGAAAAATAAAAATAATTCAAAAGATGTTGTAAGTTTAATAATTTTATTAAATATTTTCTTTTAATTTCTAGTTACCATTATATTGAAAATATTTCACTTCTTAGGAGTCTGGACTTAATACACGAGAAAAATGGGGCAAAGAAATTGAATTTTTATTATCATGTATAGCACTTTCAGTTGGTTTAGGTAATGTTTGGAGATTTCCATTTATTGCATTAGAAAATGGTGGTGGAGCATTTGTTATACCATACATAATAGTATTATTATTGATTGGTCGACCAGTTTATTATATGGAAGTTATTATTGGGCAATTTTCTAGTAGAGGATGTATAAGAGCATTTGATATGGTACCAGTTATGAGAGGTATTTAAAGATAGTTTATATTTATTTAACTTACATATATATTTTCATTTGCATTGATATATAGGAGTTGGATACGGTCAGGTTTATGCAACAGCATTAGCAACAACTTATTATGCTTGTATAATGGGTTTAACTGTTAAATATTTAATAGCATCATTTTCATCTATATTACCATGGGCATATTGTTTAGAAGAATGGGGATCAAATTGTGTTAATGCTACAATTAATGATGATTCAGTCCAACATGATTCAATAGATCTTAATGACGGCGAACGTGGATCGTCAGCTGAATTTTATTTTACGTAATAAATTTTTATTTCATTTTTACTTAAGTTTTTGGTTTATAAATAAAATGAAAATTTTCCATTTTAGTCGAATTGTACTTAATGAAGTTGACAATCTTGATTATGGACTCGGTACGCCAAGTAAAGATTTATTAATGTGCTTAGCAATTACTTGGATAATAATTGGTCTAATATTATGGAAAGGAATAAAAAGTTCAGGGAAAGCTTCATATTTTTTAGCAATTTTCCCATATGTTGTATTAATCCTTCTCTTTGTAAGAGCTATAACACTTCCTGGATCAATTAATGGGATTATTTACTTTTTAAAACCACAATGGAATCAACTTTTAAATCCAAAAGTAATTTATCAAAAATTTTATTAGTAATTTGTTTTTTCTTATAATTTTCTTTAATTTCTTGTAGGTATGGTACAATGCAATAACACAAGTTTTCTTTTCTCTTGCAATATGTTTTGGTACATTAATTATGTATGCATCATTTAATAATTTTCGAAAACGTGTTTATAGAGATGTAATTATAATAACAACAATAGATTCATTTACATCAATGTTGGCTGGTTGTGTAATTTTTGGAATCTTAGGAAATCTTGCATACGAATTGAAAACTGATAATATAAGAGATGTTGTAAAAGGTGGTGCTGGTTTAGCATTTATTTCATATCCAGATGCAATAGCAAAATTTCAATGGTTACCACAAGTATTTGCTGTATTATTTTTTTCAATGTTATTAGTATTAGGTATTGGAAGTAATATAGGAATGTCTTCGTGTGTTATAACAGTTATAAAAGATAAATTTATACATATACCACATTGGATGTTAGCTGGTGGAATGTCAATTTTTGGTTTTATATGCGGTATAATATATATGACACCTGGTGGACAATTTATATTAAATTTAATTGATTTCTTTGGATGCTCCTTTATTGGGTTATTTTTGGCAATATTTGAATTGATTGCTGTCGCATGGATCTATGGTAAGAAAAAGAAAAACTATTGTTGCATCATATAAAAATTATAGGGTGTTAAATTTGCAGGTGTAAATCGATTATGTAAGGATATTGAATTTATGTTTGGTATAAAAACTGGGTTATATTGGAGAATATGTTGGGCTATAATTACACCATCTCTAATGATAACTGTTCTTATTTACCTAATTATAGAATATCAGCCATTAAAATATAAAAATATTGATTATCCACCATTAGTAATGGGTAATATACACACTTAAATAAATTATAATTCAATAAAAATTCAAAAATATATTAAATAAAATTTTTATAATTTTAGGTATTGCATGGGTAATTTATGCAATTGGTATATTACAATTACCGATATGGGCTATATATGCAATATATCAACAACCGCAAAAAACTTTAATAGAAAAAATTAAATCATCATTTAAACCAACGAAAAATTGGGGTCCACTTGAGAAACATAATTTTGAAGATTATCAAAAATATAGAATTAATATAGAAAATAATTCTAATATAGAAGAATTAAGTATATGGCAAAAAATTCTTAATAATATTTTAGGATAGATTTAATTTTTTTAATTATAAGTAATTAAATACATATAATTAGAATAAGAATATAATTAGGAATATTTTGTAAATTTAATTACAATTTTTATTATATAAAAAATTACTGACTTGACAAAATAAGATTTAAAAGTATATATGTGTACCTATGTATGCCGATTATATAAAATGATTTATTCAAAAGGTTTTCGTACATCAAAATTTAATTTATTTCATTGAAAAATTCAAAACTAAATTCAAGAATTGCTATAAATGAACTAATAAGTTTCTTAACCTTTAAAGAAAATATTAGACGTTAGTAGTTTTGTTAACAACATCGACTGCATCGGATGTAATTATTTGCATATTAAAGGAACTATCTTCTTCTCGAAAAATAGTAAAACTTTCGCGATTTTTTTTATCCACCTTAAAATTTAAATTATGATTTCCCTTTTTCTTCAATTGAACAATATCCACGCCATTATCATTATTATTATCATCATTTGTAAATATTTTATTTTTATTAATATTCTTAATTTCATTAATAGCTGCCTCGAAAGCATTATATTCAGCATTATTTAATATTTTCAATTTAGGATTCATTGCAATCCATGAAGAATTTATAACCTCTTCTATTTTAATTCTATTTTTTGGATTTGGTTCCAACATTCCTTTTAACAATTCTTTAATTTCATTTGATAAAATATTTTGATATTTTGAACGAAATTTCCAATTTTTATTCATTTGTTGTTTATACAATACTTTTAAATTTTTTGAATCAAATGGATTTGCTTTATTTAATATAACATATATTAGTATACCAAAAGTCCATATATCAGCTATTTTTGGATCATATAATTCACCATGTATTATTTCTGGTGGTGCATATGATTCTGTACCACAAAATGTATTACTCATTTCATATGATAATGGTAAATTATTTAATAATTTAATATGACATGCAAAACCAAAATCTGCTATTTTACAATTAAAATTTTTTGTTAATAAAATATTTTCACATTTAAGATCACGATGTGCTATATTTAATATATGTAAATATTGAACACCTAATGCAATCTGTTTAACCCATATTCTTGCTTGATCTTCTGGAACAGCATCATTTTTAAGTATATAATCAAGTAGATCACCATTTTCCGCATAGCGCATAAAAATATAAATATTATTTCGTCTTTGATAAATACTACAATTTTTTTTAAAAAATGTAATTAACTGAAACTGACCAGATGCAGAAAATTTACCTTAAAATCGAAATAATATGAGGATGATTGACTTTAATTAAAATTGCTAATTCTCTTGGTAAAAATTTCTTTAAAAATTTCTTTGGAATTTTATTTAAATTAATTATTTTACAAGCAACTTGTAAATTATTTAAATTCAATTTTGATTTAAATTCAGCCAAATAAACTTTTGAAAAACCACCTTCTCCTAATTTTTTAACAAATGAATAACCACGTTTTGATAAAATATCTTTTTCTGATTCATTCCTAATATCAGATTGCATTATAAAAACCTTCGAAAGAAATCCTTCATTTATTATTTTTTATATATTTAAAAAATAAAATCAAATAATTTTGAATTACAAAAAAAAACTGACAATTTATTCATGTGTATATTGTGAATTATTTTATCGTAAAATTTACGATATTTAAATTTGTTTTTTCTACGTTCCTACAATTATTTACAGCAATTATTTTATAAAATATATTATTTGATAAATTATTATTTTTATCAACTTTTTAAGTTAATTGTGCTCCAAAACTTATGCAATTTTGTTAGAGAAATTAGGTGTATATAAAGTACTGCAAAAAAAATCGGATGTGATCATCACATAATCGATCGCATTATACTATGTTGTCTAGTTTAGCGAAAATGTTGCACAAGCTTATGAAAAAACCTTTTAAACACTCCTTTCAAATTTTAAGAATGCTAGTATGGTTTTAGTTAACATATCTAGAAAAATGTAAATTTGGCCCTTAGTAGAGTTTCTCTTTTTGCCATTGGTAACAACCAAACCTTTGAGTTTTCAACCACATTTTTGAGTTTTGTCAAATATTACATTTAAAAAAGTTCCATTTATTATTTTCCATTTATATTACATTCTATTTACATGGGAGAAAATGTAAAATCGCCTATAATAAAGCCTTAGAGTACATACATACATATGGAATACAGCCATAGGGTTATGTCAATCAAACACATATCAAGCAAACAAAAGCTCCTCAAGTAAATAAAGAAATAAAGAACTGCATAGAATGCTGAAACGAATGAGAGCTCTCGATTCTTTAGACTATATAGTACTGAGACAGCAGTTCCATGGCTTCTTTCACGGAATATAGACACCAGATCAGGTATGTTTTAGGTTAGGTTAAAGTGCCCCTATACTGATGATAGGTTTGACAATGATTCGAGTCCACCTGTCTTTGTCTGTCGATGACTTTTTAACACCTGTATAAATTTATTATTCATCTAAATTACATTCAATATTTACATTCACTTTTATATATACATAGCTTACATTACATACAAATAAAATTAAAATATTTCAAGAACAAAATAAAAAATCTTTATCTTTATTACATGGAGTTAAAAATTTAAGAATAAAAAGTACAGTGTGTACAAATTGAAATAATCAAAATGCATTCAAAATCAAAATAAAATTACAATTATTAATAAAAAATATGGAGCACCGCTGAATTGTTTCACCACGTTTCATTAAAATTTTAATAAATTAAGCATTTCAACTATTTTATGGTTAACATTAAACTTTAAGCTTATTTTACAGAATTAATTGTGACTAGAATTGTGCTCTTCACCTCCATATGAATTCTGATTCCTAAATGACACGCAAGTGAATGAATGTCAATGCAAGTGACGCAAGATATTTAATATTTTATTTTCATCAACTCACCTCATCACTACAAAATAAAATATCCAAGCAAATTTTAACACAGCGTGTTGAACAATATTAACATTTTAAAAATTCCGAATTTTAGGAAACTAAAATAGAGTAAAATCCACATTATGTACAAATTTTAATTCTCTTTAAAGCTTTTGCTAAATATTTACTGTATATATACAATAATCTCTTTGAAGATCATATTTCTAATCATTTAATTTCTTTTATTATATCTCAAGTTTATTTAATAAAACTGGGCCTGAAAATTAGTGTATAATGTTGCTGTTTATAATTTATAAATAATTTTCTTTAATACAACAGTATCGGTACTGAGCTCTTGGAGAATACATTTATCTACAATATTTAAGAACATATAAAATCAGAAGGGCAAGAAACGCGGAAATAAATTTCCCACACAAAAAAATTTTGAAGTAAAAAATTTCAATTATATTCACGTATTTTTATAACGAATTATAATTGGAACGTATCGTTGGAATAAGGAATATAATCTAAAATTAAGTGTAGCTACATTCATTCGTTTTAATATATTGGATCTAAAAGAATAATAAGAGAAAAGCGGCAAGAAAAATTTAATAAAGGAAAATTTTTTCAATCTATGATCAAAAGCGATCTTCAAGAAAATATTCAATTAAAACAAGATGAAATCAATTTAGTCTACAATCAAAAACATGAAACGGATTGTGGAAATGTAATGAAATTTTCCAACTATTTTTAATTGTATATATTATTTATGATAAAAAATATTCTAGGAAAATCAACATCCTTTTATCGAATCCAATGAGAAAAATGAAAAACAACGTGAAGAATGGGGTAAAGGAATTGAATTTTTATTCTCTTGTATATCATTATCAGTTGGATTAGGTAATGTTTGGCGTTTTCCATTCATTGCATTTCAAAATGGTGGAGGAGCATTTTTAATTCCATATATAATAGTATTACTATTAGTTGGTCGTCCAGTTTATTATTTAGAAATTATAATTGGACAATTTACAAGTCGTGGATGTTTTCAAGCATTTAATTTTGCACCAATAATGAAAGGTGTTACAGCTGGTCAAGTTTATATAACAATTGCTTCAATTACATATTATTCAAGTATTATGGCAATTACATTTAGATATTTATTAAGTTCATTTGAAAATCCTTTACCATGGAGTTATTGTCGTTCAGAATGGCAAGAAAATTGTTTAGATTCAATGTCTAAAAATTTCAATCAATTAAATGAAAGTAATGAATATAAAATTCTAAATGCAAATATATCAATTAGATCATCAGCAGAATTATATTTTTTGTAAGTTTTATAATTCATTATTGAGATTTTAATAAAATAATTATTTGATATTTTTTAGAAAAGAAATTTTAAATGAAAAACAATCGATAGAGAATGGAATTGGCTATCCAATTTTAAATTTAGTTGGTTGTCTTGCAGTTTCATGGATTATAATTGGGACAGTTATTATAAAAGGTAATTTTTCAAAATTTATAGTTACAAGCCAACAGAAGTCATTGTTTTTTTCAATTTGAAAGGGATTCAGAGTTCTGGTAAAGCAGCATATTTCTTGGGCGTATTTCCTTATGTAACAATGATTGTGTTATTAATAAGATCTCTAACATTACCTGGAGCCTTAAATGGTGTATGGTATTTCTTTCGACCACAATGGAAAGAACTTCTTAATCCAAAAGTATGAATATTTATTTAATTAATTTTTTTTATGAAAATTAAACTTAATTTGTTTTTACTAATTAAAAAAAGGTTTGGTATTCTGCTGTAACCCAAGTATTTTTCTCTTTAGCCATTTGTTTTGGAACTTTAATGACTTATGCATCATATAATCCATTTTCAAGAAATGTTTATAAGTAAGTTGGGACATTGGAATGAAATTATATAATAATAAATTTACTCAATTTGTAGGGACTTAACTATTATAACAACAATGGATTTTTGTTCTTCTATAATTGCTGGTAGTATAATATTTGGAATATTAGGTAATCTAGCACTTGAAACTGATGCAAAAGATATTAGTCAAGTTGTTAAAGGTGGTGCTGGTTTAGCTTTTATATCATATCCTGATGCTATAGCAAAATTTGAATTTTTACCACAAGTAAAATTACAAAAATACACAAATTAAAATTAATAAAAAAAACACATTTTTTTCCCATTATAATTTTCAATTTACTTACTATTGTAGGTATTTGGAGTCTTATTCTTCTTAATGTTATTTGTATTAGGAATTGGAAGTACAGTTGGTATGGCATCTTGTATAATAAAAGTTATACGTGATCAATATCCAAATATAAAACAAGGTTATTTGGCAGCAAGTATTTCTATTATAGGTTTTACAATTGGATTAGTTTATATGACACCAGGTGGACAATTCATTTTAGCTCTAGTAGATTTTTATGGTGCTTCATTTGTTGCATTAATATTAGCAATTGGTGAATTGATTGCGGTTGCATGGATATATGGTATGTTTCCGAAATTAGTTTTCAACATTTTAAAATAAGTTTTTAACATATTTATAAAATATTTTAGGAGTAAAAAGATTTTGTAATGATATACAATTTATGATGTGTGTTAAAACTGGAATATATTGGAGAATTTGTTGGGGATTAATAACACCATGCTTAATGATTTCTGTATTAATTTATACATTGATAGATTTTGAATTATTAAAATATAAAGATGTTGAATATCCATTTATTGCACATGGTAATGTTTAAACGAATAATCATTTTTGTTTTATTTTATTTAAAATTATTATTATTTTTAGTTTGTGGTTTAGTAATTTCAATTATTGGTATTATACAACTTCCATTTTGGGCATATTGGGCAATAAGTAAACAAAATAAAAATTTTCATTTAATTAAAGTAATTTTTTTTTGAATGTAGGTTACAATTCTATTAAAATTTAAATTTTTATTTTATAGAGAATAAAAAAAGCTTGTAAACCAGATAAATTATGGGGTCCTTTAGATTCTGAAATTTTAGAAGAATATCAGCAGTACAGGCAGAATATTATGGAAAATGAATTAAAGATTCAAAAGAAATCAACAATTTTAAAAAGATTTAAAGAAAATATTTTTGAATAAAAATTTAATAAACTACGTTTTATATTAATAACATTTTATAGCCACAATAGCCCTTTATATATTTTTAAAATCCTCTTGCATTTAATTTTTAAATAGTATTATAAAAAATTGATCGTAAAGCCGAACACTTTGTAGGTAACTAACACTATATTTTAAATTGTTAGAACTAGAAATAGAAAAAACAATATGACTAAACAAAAATTAGTATTTTTGTTTGCCTAGTAAAAAATCTAATTAATATTTTCAATTTTAATTTTTAATATAAAATATTTTTATTTCTATGTTATTTTTTACATTATTTTTTTTTTCTGTTTTATTTTTTATTTATGTTTTTGTTCTAAAAATAAAGTTAGAAAAAAAAACTTCTTTCCTTTTTTCTTATTTCTAAAAATTAATCTGAGTTTATTTTATTTTTTTTATTTTATATTTTATATACTTACAATTTTTCTTTTTTAATATTTATTTATTAAACATTATTATTATTCCTTATTTTTTGTTAATTTATGTTATGGTATATTTTTATAATAATGTTAGATGAACTTTTTTTTTTAATTTACATAATATAAATAAAAATATTCTATTTTATTTCATTGCTATTTTATTTTTTTCTTCTTGTGTCATATATTAATTGTTCCAATGTAAAAGCAAATGCATAAATTAAAAACAAAAATTAATATGGAATAAAATTAAAATTTCAAAAATTTAAATTGAGAAATCAGTCTTTAGAATCTAATTACAAATATATATATATATATATATATATATTATGTAGTATACAATGATAATCGTATATTATGTTTTTAATGATATGATTTTTAATTATTTCAATTAATTATTTTAATTAATTTTTTTCTCTATTTAAAATTTTGAGGATTTTAAAATAAAAAATATGGTAAATTCTTAAACGTCAAATTTTACAAAATCTGAGTTGTCTGAGTTTACAAATACTCTACTGCGTTTTTACTTTCAGTCAAAGTTTAAATTAATAAACGTTTAAAAAAAGTCAATTAAGCGTCAAAATTGTAGATTTTTTTTTTTTTACATGCAGACAGTCTGACGTAATAATTCAGTAAATAAATTTGATGTATTGAGTGACTATCATTACGTTAAAAAAAATATAAAAAATATTTTTTTTTGTTAATTTTTAATATGTAAGTATAAAATTATTTAAAATCTAATCAAAAATCGGATATCAAAATTCAAAGTCAATTACGGGTAAAAAGTTTACTACATTTCTGTCCATAAAAGTTTTATACGTCAGACAGTTTGCAGACTGAAAACAAAATTTTGACGTTTAAGAATTTGCGGATACATACTTGTTTTTTATTTATTAAAATTTTAAATTATTAATTTTTTAATAATAGCATTTTAACATTTAAATGAAATAAATACCTTGATTTATTTTGATATGCATTTTAATTATTTAGAAATTGAAAAAATATTTTCTTTTAATTATAATAAATCAAAAACAAATATAAAATAAAGTAGAAAATTAATTTTATAATTTTTATTACTAAATCCAAATCAAAACAAGTTTGTAAATATTTTATATATTTACAAAATTTTATTATTTTATTTTGTCTAAACTCTTAGACAATTAATGAAATTTAATAAAAAAAACACTTTTTAACATTTAAAAAAAAAAAATAATGAGCGAAAACATTACTACAACATTTAATAATTAAAATCATAAACTATATACTTAGTATACACTTAAATATATAGTTTATGCTTAAATTTAAATATAGTTTCCCATATCTTCAATACCAATTATTAATAATAAAGCCAATAAATTTTAATTTTTAAGAATATGGTATCGCAATCATGGAATGTAAAAAAACGAAAAATATTAATGAAATTTTATGAATTCTCAAATTTGGAATTAAAATATTAAATTTCATTTATTGGTAATAGTATGTTTACAATATATTCTTAAAATTTTTGGGATTACATTTACTAAATAGAACGAAATTTTACTAAATAGAACGAATTTTTATTTACTATATTGACGACAATAATTCGCTTGTTTACGGCTACAGTGACATAATTCAAAAAAAAATGTGATTTCTGAATAATTTTTTGTGCACAAACACTATTTATCCAGATTGAAAATTGTCACTTACAAATAAATTATAAAACATTGATACAGCAAGAAAAATATATTACTCCAACTCCAGAGCTCAAAAAAATTTTGTTTTCTCAATTGTTAACAATTTGAGTTCTGTTAATGTTGCAGCAAGCAAACGAATTAAATTTACAGTGTTTACAATTTACGATATCTTATTTTTATTATAAAATTCAATGGTTTCATTATTAAATGGAGATATTTTTGATTATAGTAAGTATGCAAATAAAAATTAAGTTACTTAAATTTTTAGGTATTTAACTATCTCTTTCTTGTTTTTTTTTTTTTTTCATCTTCTTTCTTCATTCTTTGTAAATAAAATAACAATAAACTTATTTTAAATATATTAAAAAATATTATGTACTTTTTATATGTTTGATTACACTATTTAAATCAGATTCATAATTATTAACTAAACAATAGTCAGTTAAAATTTTTTCAGAATCTGAGGCACTTTTTGGTTAATAATATTTTTTTTTTAATATTTTTTTTTAATTAATTTTTATAATTTAATGTTAATAACTTTTTTTTTTTTTTAAATTTTGTGTTATTTTTTTTTTTTGTTTCATGAAAATTTCGTGAAGTGACAACAACTGGATAATCAGAAGAATTGCTAAATATTTTAAATGTTTGCTAACAAATTAATTAATTGAATATAGAAAAGTTATGTAAAAATTAAATTAATGTTTAAGATTTAAAATTAAAAATTAATTTAATAATTATTAATATGAAAAATTGAAATTATAATAAATGGTGGAATAAAAATATAGAATATGTAAAATAATTCAATAAACTAGATAAAATTTATAATAAATTTCAGTTTCGAAATCACTTCACAAAATGAATTTTAAATGTAATATATTTTTTTTTAATTAATATGATAGTATGTTTATAAATTTATTTAATATATGTATGTTATATACATAATATATATTTTGTTTTTCTATTTAAAAAGAAATTTAATTTTAAAAAAGCACAATTTTTTTTTGTTTTATCAATTTCATTTCATTAATTTCATGGTAATGATCACATTAATAAATTCGTTATATAACTAACAAATTATTGAAAATTAAAAAAAAAGAAAAGGAGGAATTACAAAATTCATATATCGATACCCTATTATAAAATTTTGATAATAAAATATTGCGCTTCTATTTTAAAATTAATAAATTTTAATTTTAAAATATTTTCATATAATTTTTTTTAGTATTCTGTAATATTTTCGTTTGTTTTTTTTTTTCTAATTTTTCGAATATTTTTTGATTAATGATATTTTTTTTTTTTTTTGTTTTTTTCTGTCTTTATCGTAAATATTTATCGTAATGTAAATGCAATATGACATGAATATTTTAATGATAAACGTTTTGTATATCATAATTTAATTCATAGTTATTTCTTTAAAATAAATTATATTTAAATATGATTATAAAACTTAAAATTATTTAAGTAAAAAAAATATATTTATGTATATTTTTTTATATAATAATAATAATAATATTTGATTTCGAATTTTTTTTTTTTAAAACAAATTAAAAATTTACTTTGACATCAGTTAAGAAAAATATAGAAATTTATTTGTTTTTTAATTAAATTAAAATTTTTGAATTATGTAAGAGAAACAACAAAATTATTTGATAGACTTAATGAAATAAAAAATAAAAAAAAAACGAATTTATAAATTTTTTTTCCTAAATCGGTGGTAATACCATTAAAAATCGGTGGTAATACCATTTTGGGTATTTCATTATTTTTAATATTTTTAAATTAAAAAATATAAAAAACAAAAATACTATTATAATTATTAATTTATTAAGGCACTTGGTTAAAAGAAGACAAGTGAATTGAAGAAAAAAAAATTAAAAGTGTTTTATAATTCTATAAAAAATTATAATTTTAAATATACTAATTAATTATTATTAGTAAAAATTTAAATTATATATTATATACATAAGTATGGCACAAATAATCAGTTTTTTTTTTTTGTTAAATATTTTTTTAATAATTTTAAATAAATTTAAACTAATAATTTTTAATTGTATGTTAATTTGAATAGCAATTTTAAAAATACATGTATTAAATGAGACTAATTTGTAATAAAAGTTTTTTGAAATATAATTCAAAAATTTAATTTTAAAAGCCTAGGCACAAATATTTTAAAATAATCAAATATATTTTAATAATTTTTTATATTAATGTTTACAACAAAATCATTGTAAATTTACTATAAAATTATGAAAGGAGAATTCTTATAATTCATAACATTAGATTATTGCAAAATTAAAAATTAACTTTACAAAAATAAATATAAGGAAATTATTGAATAATATTTTAAAATATATATTTCAAATCTAATGCCAAAGTAAACTAATATAAAAATCTTTTCGTATAATCTTTGGTCTATTGATTTATAAAAAAATACAGGTAAGTCTTGGTTCTATAATTAAAAATTGGTTATACATTTTATTAATTCTAAACTTTATTTTGATAAAAAATAAAATCTACTTTTTCTTTTTCTATACAATAATAATAATAGGTATTTATACGATCAAATTTATTTAATCATTAATTTTCAATATAGAAAACAAATGACTATTTAAACGAAAAAAAAAAAAAATTCGAATCAAAAATTCACTAATTTTAATTAATTAATTTACAATAAGTATATATTTAAAATAAATTTTAGATTTATCATAATTAATAATTACTTTCATTAGTTTTTCTTTTTTTTTAAAATAAACATTTTCAGTAACACTTTTAGTAGCTTATAATAAAAGAATTTCGTATCCTTTATATAATATATATATAAATTTTAAATTAATTCTTATTTATGTTAATATAGAACAATTAAAAATAAAAATATAAGTAGAAATTAAAATTTATTAATTATTAACATAATTAAAATCTCTTATAAAATTGTATACAAATTAAAAAAGTATACAAAATAAAAAAAAAAAAAAAACCAACTAAAAAATTGAACATCTAAATTCAAAAAAATAACTAAACTAAATAAAAGCTTCAAAAATTATGGGCTACGTATAGCTTCTGGTCGGTGACTGAACCGGTGATGGTGGAGGTGGTAAAGGTGAAAAATATGTTGAGCTACGTGAACTCGGTGACGGTGGGCAACTTTCTGGTACAATTCTAACATCACTATGATAATGAGATCTTGGTGTCGGTGGTGGCGGATATGGCTCACTATCATATTGATATTGTGATAATTTAGCTGTCGCACCATTACTATTACTATTACTTTTACTTGTATAATTAGAATCACTTTCATCGCATATATCTGTTGAACATGGTGTTGGAGGTGGCGGTTGATTAATAATTTTATAATGTCTATATGGCCGACGACTTCTTGTTGCTGGACTTGGTGGTGGATTAATTGGATATGCAACCATACTACTACCATTTGTTGTTGAACTTGATGCACCAGTTATATGATTACGATCATAACTATTCATACTATTACAACTATGTAATGTTGACATACGCATTGCATCAGCTACAGATGCTATTTTCGATACACGACTTGATTTACTTAGACCAGGCGATAATGGATCTGATGCTTGGTCATCTTTTGGTTCGTTACGACTTTTACCTAAACGTGTTCTACATATTTGTAATAAATAAACAACAGAGAATATTATTATCATTGTAACAACTATAACAATAATAAATGCTTTTTTATCTGATGCTGGTGCAACACGTTTCGTATTTCCTTGTTGACTACATATTTCAGGACTTTCATCAGCACCATCAGCACAATTATCCCAACCATCACATAAATATGTTGCTGGAATACATACTTTATTAATTGGACATTGAAAATCTTGTGGCCTTTTACAACAATCAGCTTCATCATGTCCATTTGCACAATTTGTTGTACCATCGCATACTAAACTTTTATCAATACATTCACCAGATTGACAACGAAATTGATCTGGTCGACATGATGGGCAACCAACTTCATCAGATTTATCTGGACAATCATTTTGTCCATCACAACGCCATGATACCGGTATACAATCTTTATTTAAATCACTTGTTAAACCATTACCAGGAACTGGTGCAGCACAAGTAAAATGATCTGGGCCACATGCTGGTAATGCACCACAATTTTGTTTATCTTCAAGTAACATTAAACCATGTGGACATGAACAAATATCACGACTACGGCCATCCATTGTAGCAACACAAATATGTGAACATTTTGTACGACTTTGTAAGCATGTATGATTTTTATAAATTTTTAAGTCTGGTGTCCAAACAGCTACAACATCAGTTACTAAATTTGATAATGGAACTGGTGTTCTTTGTTTACCAGTTTCTGTTATACGTTCAATATTACCTTGATCATTTAACCAATAAACAATATCATGTATGGCTGCCATTGATACTACTTGTGTAACATGCGTTTTTACAAGTGTTTCCCTAAAAATATGAGAATAAAATTTTTTGTTATTCATTTAAATTAAATAAATTCGAAATTTTTGCAAAATATTAAAATTAAGTTTATTGAATTTACTTGTTTTTGCCATTTATATCCATAAAGTCAATACGTTTTCCATGAGCATAATATATTATATCAGCATGTTGATCAACAGCTAATGATGTAACACCTTCTAATTTAAATGCTAATATAGTTTTTTCAGCTCCATCAACTCTTGCTCTAAAAATTGCTTGACGTGAACCAACATCTGTCCAAAATAATAAACGTTTCATTGAATGTACAGCAACATTTCTTGGCTGTTCTGAATCAGTATCAACAATTCCAACACCATCTCCATCCAAACTGGAAAATATGATTATTTAAATTTACTTAATTTCAAAATATTTGAATTACTACTGAAAAAAAATGTCATATTCTTTAATATGGTCTTAATTATGTCTTAAAACGTCATATTCTGACATTGTGCGTTCTTTAAATGTCATAATCTTTAATATAATTTGGATATTTTCTGTCTTTTTATTGTGGAAAAACTTTTAGACTTCACAACTTTCACTTTTTTCTAAGAGGAATCGCATATAAAACTTTTTAAAAACATTAATTTTTTGTGCAATTTAAATTCTACTTAAAAGTAGTCTAATACGAAGGCATATAAAATTTTATCACTCTTTCTAATTATCAAGAAAGAAACTTTGAAGTCGGAAGACAAACAATGACAAGACGACATAAAATATCAAAATATATTATTCGGAATTATTCTGATAACGTAAAAACCAAATGAAAATTTCTTTGAAATAAAGTTTCCTTTGTTGTCCTTACAAATCATACACAATTTTAAAATTCATTCTAACCCCTTGTTTCTCTTCATATTTTTTTTTCTTGTAAAATTTAAGTAAACTCTTTATATTTACGTATGTTTATACTGTTATACTTGTTCTTTTTATTGATTACAATACAAAAACAAAAGAAAATAATAATGTTTCATTATAAATAATAGTCAAATCACAAAGCCAGAAACGAATAAAATTAAAAAAAAAAAACAAAAATCAGCAGTTTTCCCAGCAGCATAATTTTTCCCTCGCATAAATAACTTGGATCCCTTACAATTTAGAGAAAAGAAAAAAAATTATATTACTGTTGTCTGATTACTGGTGGACAATTGTGAAACAAAAATAAGAGAACAAAAGTCTGAAACTTAAAAGGAAACTTCAATATGAGGAAAAGAAGGAGAAAATTCTTTTCATCTAACCTCTCTTTAAAATGTGTTTAAAAATATGTGTTAAATAAATAAGTTAAGCACATAAAATTATTAAATGCACAAAAACCACTTCTAATTTAGAAAAGAATTTGCGTAGTAGATTCAGCCGTTGTGGGAACGTTTTCAAAAATACGAAAAAATTTCATCGCATTCGAAGCACATAATTTATTGCGAGAATACTAATATTCCGAATTTGCGGTCTAGTATGAGAATATTTGAATTAAAAGATCGACAATTCACAAACACATTTAATGTTTAAATATTTTATAAAACATTCAAATTTTCAAATCTCACCTTGTAACATTGATCGTATTCATATGCATACTTGTCCAAAATAATAATCGTCCAATAACATCTAAAGCAATATCAAATGGTTGTGGTCCATTACCAACGAAAACCGATGATCGTGTACCGTTAACTAAAGATCTTTTAATATGATGATTTCGACCTTCAACCTTTACAATAATAATAATGACAATAATAAGTATATCGTAAATAATAATTTAAATTCCTCCTACTTACCCAATATAAATAATGTGATATTGGATCATATTCAACAGCTCTTATATTTTTTCCAGAAACTGGTAATGGAAAATCAGGTGAATCAGTTGTATTTGGTACTATACGACCAAATGAATTCTTTTGACTAAATATTACATAATTTTTTGGTGGAATACATGAACTATTATCTTTAGCTAATGTATAATGTGTTGGACATGCACATCTTGCTCTTTTACCAGGTAATGCTAAACATAAATAAGCACAACCACCATTTTTTATACTACATGAATTTGTACCAGTCTGTCGGGCAGAATAATATATTAATAATGAACTAATGTATGTTAAACCACGATGTATAATACTACGATTTTGGCCAGTTTCTTTATGTACTCTTTGAATTTCACCATTATTCCAATCACTCCAATAAACATAATCTTTATACAATGTGATTGCATGTGGTTCATCAATATCAGTACTAACTAATACATGTTTTAAATATTTTCTTGTATGTTCATCCCATTCAGCCGATTCAATTTTTGTCGGACGACTTTGACTGGTCCAATATAGTTTTCTTGTTTTTGGATCAATTGTTAAACCAGTTGGATGATTGGCTTGTGATACAATTGTTTGTAATTCTGAACCATCCATTGCAGCTCTTTGTATTGCATCCAATTGTGATTCAGTCCAATACATATAACCTTCTTGTGGTTCAATGACTAAATTACGTGGTTCTTCAATTCCTTTCCATAATAATATTCTACGACTACTACCATCTAAACGTGCAACTTCTATACGTCTTGCTTCTGAATCAGTCCAATAAATGTTACGTGCAATCCAATCGACAGCAACACTTTCTGGCCTTATCAAACCCGAATCAATAACACGTTGTACATTTGATCCATTTAGGAATGCTCTAAATATACATTTAGATTTTTGATCAGTCCAATAGATTCTTCTATCAACTATATCAACATCTAAAGAATTTGCATCCCTAACATCTTTAAATGGAATTATCTCTAAATTATGAGATCCTTCATTATAATCTGTGGACATTTTCCCAATATGTTCTTGTCTAGAAAATAATAAAAATGCATCAGGTACAACACATGTTTTGTTATCTGTAGCCAATTCATATTCAATTGGACAACGGCACACATAATCTTTTGGACGATTTAAGCATAAATGTGAGCAACCACCATTATGTTTAGCACATGGATTGTCACCTTTTACTTCACGCAGTCGAGTAACTTTTAATCCCATTAAATCTGGAAATTGATCAACAACAACTATTCTATCACTTCCTGTCGTCTTATGAGCTCTATCAACAGATCGTCTCTGCCAATCAGTCCAATATAAATAATCATCGAGTATGCTTAAACCGAAAACATGTGGCAAATTTTCACTGACAACAACTCTTCTATCTGATCCATCCATATTTGCCACTTCAATTCTATCTGTTTTTGCATCACACCAATAAATTAGTTTTGCTTCAATATCTAATGCAATTCCATTTGGCCAACCTAAATCTTCTGATACTAAAACAACACGCTCTGAACCATCTAAAGATGATCTTTCAACTTTTGGTTTCTTTTCATCCCAATCACTCCAAAACATCCAACCTAATGATGGTGCCAATGCAATAGCTCTAGGCTCTTCTAAATGTTCATATATAATAACTTTTCTAGAACTACCATCAAGTCTACAAACTTCAATTCGATCGGTACCTATATAGAAAAAAAAAAATTACTTTTTTCCTTCTTTTATTGCCAGTAATAAAATATACCTGTATCCGTCCAATATAAATTTCTAGCTAACCAGTCAACAGCCAAACCGTCAGGATGTTCAACTTCTGAAGTAACAATATCCATTTGTCCAGAACCATCTGGTCGAGCACGTCTTATTGCATGAGATGTTTCATCAGACCAATATATAAATTCATCAACTGGATCATAATCAATAGCAATAGCATATTTAACTTTACCTAATGGTAAAGGAAAACTAGTAAAATCTGGCGAATCTAATGATATTTTACTAATTTGTGTTCTCTGAACTAAAAATAACATTTCTTGTGGTCCATCTGCACATTTTGTTTCCGATATTAATTTAACACCAGTTGGACACGAACAACTATATCCTTGTGAATTTAATGCTAATAAACATAAATGTGAACAATTACCATTATTATGTTTACATGGATTATCTCTGTATGGTTGTAAACTTTTATCCCATGCTCGAACAGAAATCGGTGCTTCTGGTGTATCAATTAATTCTTTCATTATTTTCTTTTCAATATCATATGTATTTATTGCACCACTTGACCAATCAGTCCAATATAATGAATATTGAAAATATGTTACACTATATGGATATTCTAAATTATCAATTAATGTACGACGTTTACTACCATCAAATTTCATTTCATCTAAAAATTTTAAATGACCATCAACCCAATATATTAATTCACGTTCTAAATCAACAGCTAAACCATTTGGCCAAAATATTTTATCATTAACTAATGTTTTACGTGATTGTGGATCACCATCCATACCGGCACGTTCAATTTTTGGACTTTCACCCCAATCACTCCATATCATAAAACCATGTGATGGTACTAATGCAATTGCTCTCGGTTGATCTAAATCAGTCCAAAATAAAACTTTTTGATATTTACCATTTAATGTTGCTACTTCAATACGATTTTTTTCACCATCAGTCCAATATATTTTATCTGTATACCAATCTATTGCTATTCCTTCGGGTTTATCTAAACCAGATGATATCACATTATGTTTTGAAGTTTTTGTTGTTTGTGTTGAATTAACATGTATACATTCAATTGTTTCATGACTTGAATCAGCCCAACATACTAAATTTTTTTCATAAAAAAAATCTATTGCTGTACCTTCAGCTAAATCTTTGGCTAATATATCAACTGATGGTGAACCAATTGGTGTTATATTTGCAATTCTTATATCATGATATGTTGTAAATAATAATATTGCTGGTGATTTTAATGCATAAACTAAATCTGTAAATAAAAAGAGAAAATTATTTTTCATTATTATTTTGACAAAAATTTTTTATTGAATTATAAAAATTAAATAAAATTTTATTTGACAATTTAATATTAAAATTTAAATATAAAGAAAATTGTCTCAGTCGAATTGTGTGTCATTGTTACACGTACATTCTTTCGATGTCACAATTCACTGATGTCATTAAAATATTTGCATATTTCTTAAGGAAATTTTCTCTTTTCCATTTTTGAACACAAATATTTTTTAAAATCTCTTCAAAAACATTACAAAATTCTTGAAATTAGTTAAAATTTTTAACATTTTTCTCTTTTTGAAAAAAAAAAAATTAAAAATTTCTAAAACTAATTTTACTTATTTGCCATAATTTCAAATTGTTTCCGAACAAAAAACAAAAAAATTGTAACAAAAAATTCTTTAACTTTTTCTCTACTCTTCACACAATTATTTCTTTTTAATTTTTTGTTTTTTTTTCGTTCAAAAATTCAAAATCATGTTGACCTACCATAACATAAGTTCATTTGCATATACTTTTGCTATCTGTGCTTTTTATTTTTTGTTTTTTCACCATAATAAACATCAACGTAAAACCTCAAATTCAATAATCCTTTTTATAACTGTTAGAAAACCAAAAATGATCCTCTCTTAACATTCAAAACAAAAAAAAAAAGCCGAACAAAAATGGCAAATAACTTACAGACAAAAATATGAACTTTGGAACATGATTTTTTTTCTTCTCATTTTTTTACAAATTTTCCATTTTTTACTTTAGTTTACTTCAATTTTTCCAACTGCATTGAAATAATAACCCAAACCTTTAATTAAATAATGGTTAATATATTTTACAAAAACAAAAAATTTGTTAAAAACATAAATAGGCAACCAGCCAATGCAAAACGAGAAAAAAATAACAAAAGAAAACTAAAAAAGGAAATAGGCTCATTTTTTTTATTAGTTTTTAACAAGTAGAACGTAAAAAAAAAAAAAATTCTAAAAATTTTAAAAGCAGCACTTCTCCAGTCCCCCTAACCGTACTCTTCCTCTTTTAATATTTTCATTTTATTCGAAAGTATTTGAATTCCTCCCTCTCTCTCTTGCTCTCATTCTCTCTTCAACCGGTATTCTATTGCTTCTCTTCGTATTCCACACTATTATAGAAACTGTTCTCTCACACTTTTCATTATTAAAGTTTTTATAAAAAAAAAAAAAAAAATTCATTTTTTTTTAGAACACCAACTTTAGGCACTAAAAAAAATTGTAGTGAAATGTGAAATCTAAAAAAAAATGATGCTTAGAAAGAAAAACGATGGCTGTTTCTCCGTTTTTTTTTTGTTTTTTTCAACATTTTTACATTAAGTTTGTAAAATTCTCAATTTACAAAATAGAAAGAGAAAATATCAAAAAAAAAATAAAGTTTATTTTCATGAGATTTTTTTTTTTCATTTTCATGACAAGTGGGTAATTTAGAGATGAGAACATCATCACAATTCACAACACAACGTTAATATAAAAAATCTGATGTGATCAGCACATAACCGACCCCAACGTGTATTGTCTAGTTTGGTGAAAGTGTTACAGAAGATTATGAAAATGCTTTTAAATGAAGCACTTAATTATCATTTAAATATTAAATATTAAATTTGTGCAAAAATGTAAAATCGACACGCAAAAAGGTCTAGTTCTAGACCTTTTAGACATTAAAGTTGGTCAATTTGTAGCCGAAATAAAATCACATACAATCGGTTCAACTAAATTTGAGATACAGTCATGCACACACAGACCGACAGAGAGACAGATCCAAATCTCTCTAAAAATAGTTTATTTACGCTTCCCTACTATGGAGAAGTCCGTTCCCATCGAAAACTCAACATCCGAAATTTGATGTCATCATATCATCTCTCTTATGTGGTTGGTAAAAGTACTGTTTTGCAATAGTAGTAGTTGTACGTAAATGCAAAAAAAAAAAAAAAATAACATCAAAATTCTTTATTTATTTTGGTGCAAAAATATTTTAGGGATTGCAAATAAATTTTATACAAGTAAACTACTATTTTTTTTTTGTTTTTGTATTATTTTAGAACTAAATAAATTAAAAAGAAAGTGATCACCATTGCACATCAACGATATAGAAACTAACAGTAAATTTTAAAAATTTTACGTATTAATTTATTATGCATACAAAATATTGACGAAACAACTAACGGGACAGTATAACTTTAACTGTAGTAAGTAATCAAAAATAGAAAGAGAATTCTCAAATTTTAGAAATAATTTTATTAAATCTTATACGTTGTTCATATTGCTATGACACTAATACGACATTGCTGTTTACATGGGATATACGATATTGTTGTTTACAATAATGCGACAGCAACAATTAATTTAATCTCAATATTTTTACTTATATGTAATTATTATATGAGTAACTATGGTTTAGTTTTTATAAATTGTAATCACTTGCAGCAACGGCATATATTAGATTTTCGAAACTGTGTGATTGTTGGTGTCGCATCACCATGTCGCTGACATGAATGTGAACAGCTGATTGTTGAATATTTTCCTAAATTAAAGTGTTTAAAGTACTAAACTCGATGAGAATTATAACGACGTGTAAATCAAATATTATTCTCTGAGAAATTTTAAAATTTTGTCATCACTTTAAAAATTTACAAAATATTAAAGACATCAAAATTCTACAACAATACAAAATTCGGGTAGGTACCGATTTTTTTTTTTTTGATTTTTCTTTTTCTTATAATACCATCTAAACTTGAAGGGCATATTAATATGTACGTACATACATACATAGGTAGCTACGAGTATGAAAATGTAATTTCTATGCTGCGACAATAGACAAACAAACCAAGAAAATATTCAAAAACAAAAAAAAAATTTTTAAGCATCTACTTACAGGAGGCTTATAATTATTAAAAACAAAAAAATAATAAAAATAACAAAAAATACGAGAAAAATACAAACATTTTTTCTTATTTTTTGATATTTTTCCTAGTATACGCAAAACCAAAACCTACGAAAAAAAAACAAAAAGGTTGAAGAGAAAATTTAGGATGAGGAGAAAATGCAGCACGAATTTTTTTATTTAGAATTTTTGTGTTTTTTTTTTTAGATTTTTTTTTTAATTTTTTCTTTTTTTTATTTCCCATTTTCTTGAATACACATTCATACAGTCTTACATTCATTTATAATTGATAAATGGAGAAATGAATAGGAAATGAAAAAATTGATGGATGGATGGATGGTTGGATGGATGGTTGGTTGGTTGGATGGATGGGTGAGTGGTTAAATAAATAAAATATGAAATTCTATACCGAATTTTTTGATTGAATGGGCTATGTATACTCTTATGTCTATGGTTAAAGTTTTAATGCATTAGAATTTAATGAATTTTTTTTTCTATTTCACGAATTTCATTTTTGTTTTCTTTGTATTTTAATAATAGAAAAATTATTTTCAACATTTTGATGAAAATTTTAATTCTTCCTCTTTTTCTTCTTATTTTTATATTCAAATTAATATTTATGAATTTTTAGTTTAACAATTATTTTAAAGAAATATTTAAAATATATAAGGAAAGACAAGAAAAAACTCAACTAAAAATTTTCATCTTTTATGCATATTTAGGGCTCAAACATACAATTCTTAGTTTTATAACTGTTTGAAACTGCTTCATGCAAATTTGTATTTCATAGGTTTATAATTAAGCGCGCAAACATACAACTGTATGATCAAATCCAATTAAGAAATCAAACAAAATTTCAAATAGTTTAGTTGCGTATGTGTGCGAACAAGCAATTTGCAATCAAACTGTAATTGTAAAACGATTAATTGCATGTCATGTTAGCATGTCTTACAGTTTGTTTTTATGCGGTTTCGCATTTAAGTTTTTTATTTAAAATTTTACTCTTAAATTAAATTGCTATGATTGAATTATAAGAAATTTTACTGAAAGCATTATAAAATTTTAAAATCATGTTTAAGCCTTAAATTATGTGGTATTTGTATAAACATGCTCTACGATATTTCTGAAGAACTTAATAATTATAAATTGAGCAATAATTTAGAAGTTTTAGTAGAAAATCATTTGCCATTATATAAAACATATGCCGAATTATACCGAATCATACAATTATACCGAACCATACAATTATATCGAATCATACAAAATATATAATCATACAAGGTATTGTAACTAATACTAATTTTTACTTATTTTTCACTAATTTTTTAAAATAATTTAAATTTTTAACACTTTACGAAAATGAAATGAATTTTCTGATAAATTTAATCATTTTCCACAACTTTAAATTAATACGAATTCAAATCCGATTATAATATTTAATTTTACGCAAAAGCAAAAAAAAAAATATAAAAACCAAATGCCTTCGGGCTGAAAAGCTAAATAATTTCTTACAAATTTAATACATTACACGTGTATACAAGAAAATCTCAACAAATATTCAAAAAAATAAAAAAAAAAAATAAAAAACAAAAGAAATATTTTACCATCATCAACTACAAAACACTTATACATAAATATATATGTACATATATATGCACATAATGTACATAATAGAAAACTTTTACTTAAAACAAAAATTGCAAAAAAAAAAAAACAGAAGAAGAAGAAGACGAATGTTTATTAAACTCAAATAAGACACTCTGTATAATTTTATCCTTAAACCAAACTTTCAAGTTTGTAATTACAATCCTTGTTGCAAATGTTGACGTGGATAGAAATATATATATATTCGTATATATAACATATGGTTTATGATCCTTAAAAAAAAAAATACACAATAATATTTATAAATGCATATACCATAAAATATCAACTGTATATGTAATGATACTGTATATATGATGATAACAATCATTGTAATGTTGATTGATTATCATAACAGCAATAATGATAGAAAACTAGAGAAAAGAAATTTGCATTTTTCCTTCCTCAGACCACTTCTCTCCTCTCACTCTATATTTTTTTTTACTCTTCTTCTATTATACAATACTACACTACTGCAACAATACATATTTAACAACACATCACAGTATTTAAGGCTTCATTCTCTCTCACAACACAATATTAAATTTCTATTGCATTTACATAGCATATTGTACTGTTCTCTTCATTTTGTTCTTATGAGAATTTTTATGTTTGGTGTATATTGCCATAATAATTTATCATCATCACTCTTGTATTTCATCATCCTGATATTGATAATTATAATGATGAAAACTCATAATGATGATGTTGATAATAATAATTACTCGTACATTGGAAAAGGAAATTTTCTAGAAAATTTTTGTTTCCTTTTTTTTTTTATTTTTACTTATATTTCTTATTTAGAATAGGGTAAGTATGTGCATAATAATGCACTGTTTCATTTATGAACTATTTGTTACTAATTAAATGTAGATTATCGAACACAACAAAGAACGACAGTTTCATTAACTTTTTTTTTATTTTTGTTTTAGTTCTCAAATTTTTCATAATGGAACTTATTATTTCGCTTAATTATAAGAACAATGTATATTCACTTAGTTATCGGACAACACCATAAAAATTTTAATCACTTAGGACGAAAATTGGGGAAAAGATGCAGAAAGTAGTTAAAGTTGCAGAAACAAACCAGAGTAACAATTCAAAAGTTATCACTCGGTAGCTGTTAGACTTGAAACACTATACTAAAACTATTTAATCACCTAATTTAATTCGATATTTTTTTTTTCAAAATTTACCCTATATTAGAATGATTTTTTAACAATATATACTGTTTCTATACTGCTATTTATATGCAGGCAAATATTATGTGAATTGCATATGTTAGATTATGTAATACATATTCTTGTTTCTGGTTATTTATTTCCATTATAAGGATATATATATATGTGTATACAGTAGCAATATAATATATATAATAATATATCAAAATTATCATATGGAGTGCTAGGCATAATTAATTTCATATTTTCATATTTCTTGACGTTTTTCATCTATTACATATGTAATATATAAATATGGTAAAAATTACAGGAAATCATAACTTGAACTCAATTAAACAAATATGTATATATGTATATATATATATGTAAAAACGTGATATATATATATTTATATATATATATATATATATATATATGTATATATATATATATGTATATATATATATATATATATATATATATATATATATGTATATATATGTATATATCACGTTTATATTAATATATATCTATATATATATATCTATAAATATATACAGTATTTAAATTTTTTATATATATATAGTATATAATACTGTGATATATATAGTATATCACATTTTTTTATATATATATATATATATTTTTGCTCAAGTACAATTTGAATATATTTCTTTTAAGGTTACCATTGATTAACAACCAAAAAGTTATTATACAAATTTTTTTTAAATATGTTCATTATAACTAACAATTGAGCGAAAGTAAATAAGTGGAAATAATTGAGTAACAAAATAATTGAGTGAATATTATTCGAGTGAATTCAATAAGAAATAATATTAATAAGAGTAATAATTGAGTGAGAATTAAGTGAAAAAAGTTGAAGTTGAATGAGAATAATAATTGAGAAAAAATAATTTTTGAGTGAAAATAATTTAATGAGACTAATTACTTAAGTGAAAATCATTGAGTGATTTCGAAATCTAGAATTTGAACGTCAAATTTATATTAAAATTATTTTTATGGTGTTGCCATAGTGAATCAACCAAAAACCTACTCTTTCGTATTCAATTCGATTATATCAATACGGTAACCCTTATTAATATTGAAATCATTTTTCTCAAATCAAAACAAAAATAAAAGCAAGCAAAATAAGAAAATATAAGGTAAAAAATTCTATAAAATTTTTATATTAAATGAACAACACCATTACATCCTTTATATTTATTTATACTTGTATATGTATATATACATATAAATATATGTATTTATGTATAGCCTAATTCTTAAACTAAGTATTGTATTCATATATATGTATGTTGGTATATATGAATAAATGAATGGATGGTTGAATGATGGATGGATGGATGAATGAATGGAAAGGATGCTTGGTTGGTTGATTTTTGTTGGTTATTTTCATTGGTTTGAATGGTTGGTTAGTTAACTGACTGACTGACTGAATAGATGAGTGAAGGATTTATCTAGAGTACCTACTAGATATACAATGTATGTACATATACAAGTATATATATGTATACAAAACTACGCTATAATAGGGGTAGCATGCAATAATAGAAGAAAAAATAATTATTATTTTTGAATCCCTAAAACGAAAAGATAAACCAAAAAAATAAAAAAAAAAAAAAATAGAAGAGAAAGGATAAAGTAACGCTATTATTTTTGTATTAAATTTAACATTGAGTAACAAAATTTGTATAGAATGAAAAAAATGAGGAGTTGGGTAAGGAAAAAAATTAATAATTTTTTTTTTTATTTTTTAAAACAAAAACCCCTCAA